GCCAACCGGCGACCTTCTAGCTGTGAGGCGACGGTGCTAACCACCGAGACACCTGCAGCCCAGAAATACTCTGTTGCAGGTGTAAGTACTTAAAGGAAAACAGGTGAATGAAACATGTAGAACTCTGAAGCCTTCCAGATGATTTACTGACAAAAAGACAACTAATGTGATATTTCTCATGTTCTAGAAATGTCCAGGACAGAAATCTGACAACAAACCGAAGAGAGACACACACAAAGGAGACCAAAACCACCACAACGACACACAAACACACACACGGTCCTTCCTGACCTGCTGTCTACAGAAGCGTCTCTTCAGTTGCAGCAACAGTTGCTCTGACAGTTGACCAACCTGCTGCTGGAGTCGGTTGGTTCTGACTCTGATTTGTAACTCAGGACTGAAAACTAACCGGACCTGAGATTGGTCAGCTGACACCCAGCGTCTCCATGGAAACAGCATGAGGGCGGAGCCTCAGCGACGCAGCAGCTGGACACGTTAATGCACATCTGGATGAAGCTGCTGCAGGTCAGAGTCATCGTCAATACATCTGATTATTCCACTGAACCAAGCAGACGAGACTCAGAGTTCCCAAAAATCACAATAAACCACCACAACAAATGATTACACAACCACAAACATACAAACCTCCAAACAGATACAAAACCACGACAACAACCACTACAAACAAATGCAAAACACACAAAAAAGTACAAAACAACATCCAAGAGGCAAAAAACAACCACAAAAATACACAAAACTATGACAAAGGAACACAAGCTACCCACAAAAGAGTAGAAATAATACAAAACAACCACACAAAGAAGCTCAAAACCATGAGAAAAAGGACACTAAAAAACACTAAAACACAGAAAACCACAACAAAGAAACACAGAAAGAACAAAACACCCACAAAAACCACAAATAGATACAAAACCAACATAAAATCATGGAAAACCAACACAGACACACAAAAAACAAACAAAGCGCCACCACAAAAATCTACAAAACAGAAAAATACACAAGACAAAACAACACAAAGACAAAGTGACACACAACACCACCACAAAAATAGATTAAACTCCTACAAGGACACAAAATCTCACAAAAGCATATAAAACCACAACAAAAATACAGAAAATCACAACAAAGAAACACAAAAAACACAGACTAATCACATAAAAAGTACAAAACATGCACAGAAATACACAAAGCCACTACAGAGGAACACAAAAAGAACAAACTCGCCACAAGAAGTACAAAACATCCACAACAGACAGAATATCCCAACAAAGAACCACAAAACCAACACAAAATCATGCAAAGTCAACACAGAAGCACAAAAACAAACACAATGCTGCCACAAAAAGTTACAAACTGAAAAATCTAAATTTCAAAATCTCCAAAGAGACACAAAATCTCACCAAAAATAGATGAAACTGCCTCAACAATGGCTCCAACCAACACAAAGTGACACACAAAGCTGCTCCAATGACGCACAAACCCACCACAACACACACCAAACCAGCAAAAGCATACACAAAGACACCACGATCAGACAAACTCTTATCAAGAAGACACACAAACACACGGTCTCTCTCCGACTACGCGTGTTTGTGACAAACGTCGACACAACTCTGGTTTGTGTTTGTGTTTCTATACGTTCATCTTCCAGACTGAACCTGAACCTTCATCAGGTTCATTCATCAGTTTGATTGAAACATTGGAGACACATTTACAGGAAGTCATGAACATCACCTGTCAGTCCTCCTGTGTGTGTGTGTGTCTGTGTCGGTCGGAAGAGGAGGCGCCTCCACAGAAGCTCTTTTATTGGTGGATGAGGAGGCGGGGTCGCGGATCTGATTGGACGACAGCCGTGTGAAGAAATTCAAAGTATTTAAGGAGGAAGCAGCTCTTGTTGGATGTTCAGTGTTGTGTATCAGTGAAGTGAGACACTGCTGCTCCTGGGCGGGGAAAGTCTGAGATGGGGTCCCCAGGTCAGAGGTTGGCCAAAGGAAAGTCGCCTCATTGTCCCGAGAACAGGATTCCCATTTGGTATGAACCATTTGTTCTTTGTTAAACTCCCCTGTGCAAGCCAGTGGTTGAGTTTGTTCTGTTCAGATCTGAGGAAACTAATCATCACTTCCTGTTTTGATTCTCGTCCCACTCCACAAAAAGACCAGAAAAACATCATTAAAAGAGTCACGAGCAACACAAAAAGGCAGAAATCAACCACAAAGAGCCACAAAAACGAGATGAAAACAGCTTCAGCTGGTAAACAAGCTGGAAACCAGCCAGTCATTAATGCAGGAACAAATGGAAGTGACCCTGAGAATCCATCTGACCTGAACGATGAGCTGACATTTGAGTGTTTCCACCGAACAGAGAGGAGACGACCACAGAGACGGAGAGGAAAATAAAACCTACTGGATCAATGAATAAATGCAGCATGGAGCAGAACCAGAGAACAGAGGAGCCAG